GTGTAATAGAGCGTTGGCGTCTCCAAAAAGTCTATTTGAACGCGATCATCCCAAAAAACCGCCATTCCGCCACTAAGCCCATCCGGATTTACAACAAAATTATGGGCGTAGCCAAGATCCTTGCATAAGTTATTCACATAACTATAGCCGTTCTTAGTTTCAACGAGGAACATGACATCAGGTTTAGAAGACTTCCTGATGTCTTTCAAATATGGAATTGTCAGAGGGTTCCTCTTAAGCCCCTGACAATTCCAATGTAATATCTTCATTTTGGAGATGGTGGTTTAGGGGTTGCCACCTCCCCTGTATCGCCAATAGGCTGTTGAGTTCTTTGCCTGTTAGTCACTGGTTGATCATCTTTCAACAGAGCGTCCCCTTTCCAATTTTGACCTCTATCCATTGTGCTCCTGACTACATCCAACATTTCTTTCAACGTGGGATTGGACTGAGTCTCAATCTCTGTCGGAGTATTTGGCTGAGCTTGCGGGAGCAATCCTTCATCCTTCGTTAGAGAGTTTCCAGTTTTCATAGATGAGAAGGAAGCTCTTCTTATACAAGTTAAAGGTATGGATGTGTTTCCAACCTCTTTGATAGCTATGGGAGTAATCGCCGGAGTGATTGACATACTGTCTGTATCCTTCAAGAGAGGAGTAGTTGCAGGTTGTATAGAACTTATGACCTGAACTAAAGAGTCAGAGCGCTCCTTTATAGCCTCATCCTCCTCTTGACAGACACCCTCCATTGGTTCAATCGCTTGCCTCATCTCTATGTTATCCAATTGAAGATTTGGAGCTCCATAATCACATTTTGTAGCTTCATGTAACAGTGAACCGCAAGTGAAACAGAACTTTCGAAGCTTGGAAAATATAAATCTGAGCGTAACAGGAGGGGTTCCCGGCTCAAAAATAATTGACCTAACAAAGATCAATCTATCAGATGTCTTCATGTTAACATGAGCCCAAACCTCTCCTTCAGAATCCGCAGTAGCCTCCAGGATCTTAGTTTCGTCAATATGTCCCAACACTCCTCCTGCTTCTCTTACAATTGGATCGGTTCGAAAGTCTTCTGGGATATGTAAGATTTTGACCCAAAAGGAGATCTTAGAAAGAAATTCAGGTGAATTACGGTTGGTCCATCTGTCTATCGCAAGCATCCAAGAGTTAAAGTGCCACGGCCAATTCTCCAGAATCGAGAGGAGATGGTGTTCAGCCTTAAAGAAGAATTGGATTGTACCATCATCATTGATACGGCTCGTAACCCTTCCTTCTAATCTCCAAGCTTTGGGGAGTGCTCCTTTAATCCCGACAGGTTTCTGGTGTTGAGGATTTAGGGCTTTAACAAGCAAGCTTAATCGATTATCAGTGTCTCTTGATCGTCGAGCCTCAGAAGACATCTGCAGTGGCTCTCTTTCAGATCCTAAATTGAGATTTTGTAGCTTTTCCCATAACTCCTTCTCCATTTTTGCTGGATTATGAACGAAATATTAACAGCAGCCAACAATAATTAGACCGGCAAGGTCACCGGAGATGAAGATCCGCAAGAAAACGGCAAGAAAATCACCGGAAAAATGAGTCGGTGAAGAGTCGGTGGAGGATCGCTTTAGAATCGCCTAGAAGGTTTGCTTTGCTTATTTCATTTGCATAGAAAGTTGTTAAGTGATCTAACATTAATAAATGTTTAAACTGTGTAGTATGCATACTTCTTGCATTACTTGATCACAGTTTTTTATTTTTTAAGTATTATGATCAAGAAAGATCTCTATTAATTGTTGCTTACAGAACTTTCTTTCACATATGATTCACGGGAAAATTCCAAAAAAAAAAACCCAAAGTAATTTTTATTTGGACGTTTAATACCCAATTCTTTTTTATTGGAATAAAAATACATCATTTAAATATATGTTGTCTAAAAATACCTAATGTTTAAATGGTTGGTGGATTCGACCCCGTGATTTAACAGCCGTTAACGGCCGTTACGGACTCATTAACCGCGGTTAAATTTCAACTCTGCGTGTTACAACAGATATATACAACCTGTTCTCATACGTACCAATTAAATTGGCTTAGTTAGGTGGTGTGATGTTTGTTTTGTCACCCATGGAACTAGGCCTGGGCAAAATAACCGGAACCGAATACCCGAACCGAAAAACCCGAAAAAATATCAGAACCGAACCCAAACCGATTTTTAAAAATACCCGAATGGATCCTAGACCTCCTACCCGAAAAAAACCCGAACCGAACCCGAACCGAATCCAATACCCGTGGGTACCCGAATACAAATATACACCTAAAAGTATTAGTTATATTTATACTTATAATATCCGAAATACCTAAAATTACAATCATAAATCCGAATATACTAGGTATTTTTGAGTAATTCGGATACATTAGGATATATTTGGTTAAAAAGTAACTAATGATGTAGTTTTCTTTTGGGTAATTTTAGTATTTTTAGATATTTTTGGTTATATTTGGGCAAAGAGTAACCAATGTATTTTTGACAAATCGGGTATTTCGGTTAGATTTGGGTATATACGAGTAAAATACCCGAACTCGACCCGAACCCGAAAATATTTCGGGTATTTTTGGTTATTTTCGGGTATTTTGCTTTTTTTATTAAAATACCCGAACCGATCCGAACCCGAACCGAATTTTTAAAATACCCGAATGGATCTCGACCCCCTACCCGAATAGACCCGATACCCGAAAAAAAGAACTGAACTCGAACGGGTACCCGAATGCCCAGGCCATCATTCTTTCCCTCCTCCTTCTCTCCTTCTCCTTTCTCCTCATTTAACCCAAAGCTTCATCGCCGTCGCCTCCTCCGTTGATAAACAACTACGACCAGAGCCATCTCTTCTCAATTAAACCCACCATCGCGATTTCCGTCTAATTGCTGGAATATCCTCTAAACTTTATCCGATCTGCTTCCTCTAGTCGCCATTTGTAGAGGAAAGTTTAAACCTTTATCTCCAAAATTAGGACACATAACAAAGGATTGATGATAAGAAAACAACGATCTAATTACAGAGCACATAATTCTGGAATTCACAAAGTCCAAAAAAAACCCTAGATTAACGTTAAACAGTGAGGAGGAAGAAGAAGGAGAGAAGACGGAAGGGGAAAAATAAATATTAAAAAAATTACTGATGGAGAGATTCGAACAAAGTTACTCTCTGCGGACAGAACAGCCATCTAACCACCAGACTACACCAAATTCACGGTTAGACCAAGGGCAATGGGGCATTCATTTTGGAGGGGTGTAAGTATTAAAAAAAACTTATTTAATGCAAAAATTGTCTAAAAAAGAGAAAAGAGAGAGAGAAAGAAGAGAGAGAGAGTGTGAGTGTTACACCCGAGTGTAAACTTACACCCGGATGTGAAGAGAGAGACAATTTTTTGCTTTTTTTTATTACCACTTACATCCGTGAAGATGCTCCACTGCCCATGCCCTTAGTATTAGTAAACAGGATTTATATATTTGTTTCAACACGTGTTGTTGAAACTTAACTGTAGTTAATGACTCCGTAGCGGCCGTTAAATCATGGGGTCGAATCCACCAACCATTTAAACATTAGGTATTTTTAAACAACATATATTTAAATGAGGTATTTTTATTTAAACATTAGGTTGCTCTGAGTCAAAGAATTAATCTACATACTCTCTTCTAATCCACATACTCTCCTCCTTTTAATGAAAGGAGGAAACTACCCCTTTACTAGGTATACGTGGTACAACTGGTACCACCTAGTTGTACCTCCTCCTAGTTGTACCACCTCTTAGTTGTACTACAACGTAGATGTACCAGAATATTCCCTAGTTGTACCAGTTACAACCAGTATAAAAGGATTCGAACCCTGGGGGCGCGCGCGTGCGCATGGAGCTCGCAACCACTGAGCTATTGTGTTTTTCGTTGAACACTTAACGATTTAATTGTATTTAACCCTTATCACCCGAAATCAACCCTCATTAAGGGTAATTTTGTCTTTCTACCATTGAAGAGTATTTGAGACTAAATTTTGAATCTGAGGAGTATCTGAGAATTTGATCGACATTTAAATTTATTCCAATAAAAAAGAATTGAGTATTAAACGTCCAAATAAAAATTACTTTGGGTTTTGCCGAAAAAAAAAAAATTACTTTGGTTTTTTTTTGGAATTTTCCCTATGATTCACAAGGTTTTCATTCTTACCTGCGTAACAAATGCAAAGACAGAAAAGCTGACCAACCTAAATGAAATATGAATATGAATGATCCTAAAAAATGGCAAAAAGTTTTTCAAATATGTAAGTGTATGTATATTGGTTTTCCCTACCAAGATATTGTCTTATGGTGAGTTTTTAAGTACTTGTCCGGTTCTTGAGGTTTTGGTATTGCTGCTATGGACGAATAACTTCATATAGGCAGTTGCAATCTAACACGATTACTCGAAGCCAATTTGCAAATTCGAAAAAAAAAACAAAGTTACAACAAAACCGACGACAAACCACTAAACTATAACCTCTTTATACGGCTTCCACATTGAGATCAACTACCAATGATATGGCCTATGAATTCAAAGGTATAACGAAGATCCGACCAAAAGACGAGGAGAAGAATCATCCTTCCTCCAACTGAAGACAAATATTCATATATAGAAAATTTTTTTATGTTTTGTTGTTATGTTCATAAGTGTAAATTGTCAGACAATTGTTAGAAACCAAACAATAAAATAAATGACCATTCAAGTTAATTTTACAACTAAAGTCTAGACCTGAAACAAAACTCTAAAACCCAAAACCAGAAAATCTTATCATAAAGCTTAAGCCTTATAATATAGTTTTTCAAAGCTTGCTAAACTAACTCCCATCATCATAATCATCATAGAAAAACCCGAAGTTGTCCAGGAAGTCGCTGTCATATTAATCCGGAGAAATGTGGTCACCAAAATGTGGCTGCTCGAAGCAGTAGATTCTGACTATTAATTTGTTTTATTTTATCCAACAGTAGTCTTGATAAAAAAAACTTGTTGCTGCATTCTGCTCTCAATTACCTGGTGGTAAGGGAGAACGAAGGTGAGCTTAATCTGGTTAACTCTTATTCGTCTTGTATTTTATGTTTCGTTATAAAGAGTTAAAATTTATGAATCACGTACGGATGCATCTCACAAATGGGAATTGGCACTTTTGTTGGCCTTTCTGGACGCTAGATTATCTTCTAAATGCATCACAATGTCTGTTTGGTTACTATTAAAATACCTGTTGTTAGATTTCCAATATGGTTGACAGTTTTTTGTTTGTTTGTTTTTTTCATTTACAAGTATGTGTTGAACTCAACTCATGTGGTTTCTATTCACAAAGATGCACTTATCTCATCTCGTTTTTTTTTTTTTTTTTTACTTCTTAGGAAGCTTTATATTGCCGATGCAAGACCTAGGAAGAATGCATTAGCCAATGGAGCAATGGGAGGTGGCTCAGAATCACCTTCCAATTATTTTCAATCTCAAGTTAGTGAATGATCTTGGTGTTTTTATTATTGAAGTCTTGATCTTCTGGAATATCATGATTTTAGTGACTATGTTTCTTTCTTCAGATTGTTTTCTTTGGCATAGACAACATACATGCAATGAGGGAGAGCTTTTCCCGCGTTAGAGATTATTTAGATATGCACGGTACAACATCATCTGATGGGAGATCATCGTTCTTGGTGAGTACTGAATATCCAGTAACTTTTTTGACAGATTTCATTGAGGGGATACAGTATGATATATAATATTTTAATGTTGCTTATTATCATAAAGATATATGTATGTATGGATTCTGCAGAGACACGGTGGTTGGACCTGGGGAGGAGGTAATCTTAGTAGTATGTCTGCTTCAGTGTCTTTACTTGGAGATAGTGGCTGGTTGATACACATCCAGAGCGTCTTAGCTGGTGCAGCATGGATAGCTGCACGTGTTGCTATGGAGTCGGCATCAGTTCTTGTGCACTGCAGGTTAGCTACCTTGACTCACATCGATCACCGACCAACTGTTTAATTTGGATACCAATTTCTGTCCCCTGATAAGATGAATATGCGTCTGTTTTTAGCAAAACCTTCTATATATTATCATCAGGGTGAAAAAATATTATTAGTTATGTCATGACTCATTGTATGTCATTGCGCAGAACAACTCAGCTTGTTTCTCTTGCATGCTTCTTGCTTGATCCATACTACAGAACTTTTGCTGGGTTTCAGGTATTCCCTGTGCTTATTTGATGTGACTGATTTTACTTAAGTGTCATAGAATATGTTTTGCAACTGTAAAAATTTAGTTAGTCGCATAATTTAATGGTTTACAAGTGTAGACTTGGAGTACCATATCGAATTCTATTCTTAGTATCCATTCATGTTTTGCTATGCACCCTATGAAGATGTTACCGTATCATGTGTTCTTTCCAACTAATTGTGCATCAACATTCTATATGAGATTCTTGTTCGCTACCCTGTTGGATTGGCTTGCTTTTGGGCACCCATTTTCGGATCGTGTAGGAATGCCTAACATATCAGGATCTGGTAATATTGACTTACCAAGGCAGTCTTCTTCTGCTGGAAGTTTCCCTTCATCTCCTGTGCGTCAGTCTTCAGGATCAGCAGCCCGAGCAATTATTCCTCTTGCAATTATAGTAATACTTTTGGTTTGTTTAGATCTATGTCAATGGGTTGGCAGACCAACAGCTTATAGTATGTTTACATCATCTATGTGTTTCCAGTGGATTGATAGCGTTTCACAGCTAATGCGGATGTATCCTTGTGCTTTTGAGTTCTCTCCGGTATGTATGAAGTCAAACACATTTCTGAAGATTTCATGTTCAACTTCTTCCAGTAATAATAGTGTACTCATTTGTCTTCATATTTGCTGTTGCAGACTTTCCTGGTAGATTTTATGGATTGCTTGCTTTCTTGTCGTTTTGGGAACTTCTTATGCAACAGGTAAAACTTTCTTTTGAAGCTCTAAACTGAAGTGATTGTGAAAACAATTGGTATTATTATGTTTTACCAATATCTGAGCTGGTGAAAAAGAGAAGGAACAATGTGGGATTGCTGATGCCTGTGGATGCCTATGGGCATACTTGACTGATCTGCGTTCATTTAGTGCAACTTCTCATGTCCATTGTAACCCATTCTATGATCCTTTGAAATATGACGGCCCATTACTACCACCAGCAGCATCTCTAGCTCCTACCCTTTGGCCCCAGTTCCATCTGCGGTGGGCTTGTCCCGAGGAACTAAAGCTGCAGATATCGGGGTCCAATGTAGAGCCATGACAGTGAAATATTCTGAAATGCAAAAGGTAACTTAATTAACTCATCTCTCTTACCTGCTCTCTTTGTCTATATATTGTATCAAAGTTTTTAACATTCTAATTGATTTGAAACAGGAGAAAGAAGTAGCAGAAAGAAGAGTGGACGAGATATCTTTCGCAATTGGAGTCATTAAGTGCAGAGTTGCTAAGAGAAAGGCATTTGAGTTGGGTAGCTAGAGAATCAGCAAATCGAGCTACAAAGAATTCAAGTGGACAAAATTTGGTGGAGTGTTTGCACAAGTTGAGTCAAACAATAACTTTAACTCTCTCTCCATCTCCTCTTAATATTGGACAGAAAAATGTTCTTATCAAGACAACCGAATCAAAATACTTTTAAACCAAATATAATTGAGAAACACGGAACAGCTGGAGCGAACAGCATATGTTTCTGCAATGCCAATAAACACAAAAAACACCAAAGAATCAATTTTCAAATATGACTAGATGTCGCAAGCGTAAATCTAAAATGAGATTAGATTTACGCTTGTTGTCATCACAAAACACGACCAGTTTTGAAATAAGAGACTACTTAAACCTTGTCGGCTGTTTTTGGTCAAAGACTCAAAGTGTGTAGATATACCTGGAGCATCTGACCAAGTTATACTTAGTTTTACCTTTTAGTATCAGAAATTCCTAAGTTACGAAAAAACGTAGTTATACCAAGTTCTACTAGTTTTCCAAAGTTTATAGATTATACCGTTGAATTTCCGCGAGAGATTGAATCTGTTGCTTCAAAATCCACTTCGAGTGGTGTTTCTTCTTCTTCAAGGATTGTCTCTAGGATTCGATACAGTTAGGTTCTTTGTTCGAGCCATTACTCCCTTGCATAAACCTACAAACAAAATCAATTAGATTAACAACAGATTCCACAAATTTTTCTAATTTCAATCTAATTCTACCCAAAATCGAAAAAAAAACAACAGATTAGACAAAGTTAGATTAGGATCGACGAAAAAATAATAGAAGAAAAACATGATGAAAGTAATTACTCAAATTGGAGAAGTAGATCGACACGAATTTTACCAACTTACGCAAATAAGGAAGTTGTATGTAATTATACCGAGTTCATAGAATTTGACCCGATTACATAGAATTTGGATATTTTTTACCCATTTTGCTTGGTTGGGTTGGTAATAAAATTCAATTTCAAAGGGGTTCCAAAGTATTTCTCTCCTTTTTCGATTTAAAATAATTCAAAATTAAATTCGAGCATTTGAGAAAAAAAATTGAAGATGGGGAGCTCCTGAGAATTTGATTGGTTAAAATGCTATTGAACAAGTGTCGTTTTGTTGGAACTAGTTTTCACTAAATGATGATACTTTATAGTGGAAGGCGAGAGGTTTAAGTTTTTTTTAGATGAAAACTAGAAAAATAGTCAAAAGAAATCTCAAATCTTTGTAAGAGTGAAGGATTTGGCGTTTTATTTAACGATTTAGTTCCATTGGTTACTTCTAGTCACCATAGTGACTAAAAGAAGAAAGGAACTAAGCATAAGATAATACTAGGCAGCTGAAAAAAAGAAACAAAGGGTTCTTCTTGAAGCTGATTCGAAAATCCACAAGTAAAAGTATTTGAAGTTAAGGTCTCATTATTGCTTTTGCGATGTTGGCATTGCGAGAGATACTGAAGTTGGAATATCTTTCCACTGTTGTGTAACAGTTTTGATCTGAGTGAAAAAGTCCACTCCTGCTTTGCCTGCAACAATGTTCCACTTGAGAATATAAGCAAAGAGAAAGAGAATGGATCTTGTTCTGTTTAGTTTTGACAAAACTTTTTACCATAGAAGTTAAGATCTCCTGCGAATGAGGCCTTGTTCCCGGTGAAGGAGAAGAACGGTAATGGAACCGGGATTGGAACATTAATACCGATCTGGTCAAACATTAACAACAACAAAAAGAAGAGATCAAAAACATGTCATCAATTGTTTACAAAAAGTGTTGTATTTTATAGGGTCCAAAGTTCTTCATACCTGTCCTGCTTCTATGTCCATCTGGAACTTTCTTGCTGCTGCCCCCGACGAAGTGAATATTGCAGCACCGTTCCCATACCTGTTGAAGGCGTAAATAGCAAATTGTTGAAGAATACGAGAAAATGATCTTAGTATTAAAATGATATCTATGTGATACAAAAGGGTGTTTACTTGTTTTTATTTATTATGGATATGGCTTCATCAAAACTGCTTGCCTGTAAATGCATATGTCACAAAGGTATCAGAGGGCATTAAGCTCACAATTCAGAAATATATGATTGAAATAAAACTAGTTTTCCAATCTGACCTCCATGCACACAAGAACAGGGCCAAATATTTCCTCCTGCAATGTGCCAAAAGAAAAAAGAAATGTAAGTTTCAAGTAGAATGCAGATTATTTGCCTTAATACCAAAATAATAGTACCTTGTAACACTCCATGTCTGGGGTAACACCAGATAAAATGGTTGGACCGATAAAATTCCCTTTCTCGTATCCTGGAACCTGTTTGTTGTAAGAGAAAATATAAAAACTTCTCGGACCAGTCGATCTTTGCATTGTTTTCAAGATTACACAAAGATTATTAAGTCAACAATATCAGTCCAGCAAAGGCAGATCAAAATATTTCTGCGCTTCTTGATGATTACTATTTCATAAGAATGTGGAGGGTAGTGCTATATTTAAGGCATGAGTCTGTTGCAATAGCAGTATATATGGAGAATGGGAAAATACCACAATATCTCTTCCGTCAAGCAGCAATTTAGCACCATCGTCTACACCAGACTGAATCAATCGGCATATCCGTTCTTTCGCCTAGCCATATCAAAATTTAAAAATAAGGTATACATATTAAACAACAGAAAAAATGCAAAACTAAACATACTTTTTACACTTGTAGGTTCAGCAGTAGTCACGACCTATATCAGAGGTTTGTGCACGAAATTACCTGTTTACTAATCACAGGTCCCAGGTCTGCATCTGGTTCTGACCCACATGTGACTTTAAGGGCCTTCGCTCGCTCAACGAGTTTATCCTCCCTGGTTAGTATTAGACAAGTAAAGCTAATCTTTCAATACTTTCAAATGAAAATCAACAGGTCTCACACAGATTCTTCAGTTACTTTTAATATTAGGACACCACAGTAGTCAATCCAAATTTATAAAAGAAAAAAGTGTTATCTTAACAATCCTATATATGGTTCAGGCACCCTAAACATGTGGACTTTGTAAACCGTAGTCCGTTGGAGAGAAAAAGATTACAGGCAAATGTGTTTATCACAGAAATATAAGATATTCGAGAAGGTGACACCTCAAATACTTGGGAGTAATTTGAATAAATAAAGTTAGCAGTACCATGATTTTGAATCCCCAACAAAAACCACTGTACTCAGTGCCATGCATCTCTGGCCAGCGGCACCAAACCCAGCAGCCAGTAGCGCATTTAAAGTTGCATCGACGTTGGCATCAGGTAAGACAAGTCCATGATTTTTCGCCCCCATATTTGACTGAGTCAATATTTTATAAGTAATTTGACTAATGTCGTTTCGATATAGTAAGGAAGAATTTTACAGGGGTAAAGATTCAAGATGTTACCTGAATACGTTTTCCTTTAGCTGCTGCTCTTGCATATATATGCATTCCAGCCTTTAAACAAAACAATGCATTAATACAAAAGTTAAAACGAAAAAATTGAGTTCAGAAGATTAGCAATTCTGAAATCATCAATCCATATTAACAGATTTTGTAGAGATTTAGGGTATGATTAGTATACAATTAACGTTTAATCAGACAGCTGAACTAATTACACAGGACACTGACTAGCTGAAAATTTGTAAATATTATTCAGCATAACTTGGTCAAACGCAAGTCTGCAGGCTATAGAGGAGCAACATAAAAAAATGTACTTACAGTGTTGGAGCCAACAAAAGAAACAGCCCTTATATCTTCATCATCACAGATAGCATTCACAGTATCCTGTGCAATAGATGCATTTTTAGTGGCAACAAAGGAAGTGACGATATCTTTACAAATTAGGTGCCGTTAATTGCAACTATTCACCATACTATCTCTAGACAGGAATCCTTTCTTTAACAATTCAAATGCTAACAAATAAAAAATTTAGCAAGAGAAGAAAGCTTAAACATAACCTACATTGGTGCCATGAACGATATTGAGAACCCCATCAGGTAATCCAGCTTCCATTGCCAACTCCGCAAGTATTACAGAAGCACCTGGAGAAAGCAAGTAAGAACAATAATCAATCAATCAAGAGAAGGGACCTTCATTGCTATAGTGGACAACAGTCAACCAATAATTCATGTGGTAAAGTATAACATTTAGAAAACGTAATACATCTAAGAGCGTTTAGCTCATTATATTGTGTATACTGGCATCAGCGATATGTTGGCAGAGTCAGAAAGTCAAGATATTATGAACTTCCCATACATCAGTTAAACATCAAAGAAGTGTCTTTTAGTAACTGGAATATTTCGAAGGAATAAGAGCAGTTTACCAGGATCCTTCTCTGCTGGCTTCAGAATAAAGGTATTACCACATGTCACTGCAACAGGAAACATCTGCACTAACAAACACATATTAAATACGCAGACTTCACAGAACACGATCACAAAGAATTACGGTTATACGTATCACGTATGTATTATATGTTGAAGGTAAATGCTGGTATATGCACCACTAATATAAAAAAGGGCTTAGCATTTTACCCATAAAGGAATCATTGCTGGAAAGTTGAATGGACAAATGCCAGCACAAACACCTAATGGCTCTCTAATACTATATGTATCAACTCCATTCGACACATTAGGGACATATTCACCCATCTGTAAGGTTGCCATTCCACATGCATGCTCCACAACCTCTGCGTAAGAAAACGAGTACCAAAAAACTAATTAGTATTGGCTCTGCTCTGTTTGTCAATCATATAACCAAACCTGCACTATTAAACTAACCCAACCCACGGAAGATATCACCATGTGAATCTTTTAACGTCTTTCCTTGCTCGGTAGTGATGTTCATAGCAAGTTTATCCTACAAAAAGATTCAAACTTTAAGCCAAGGACATGTCAAGATCATAAAAAACTAAACCAATTAGTTATACCATATTCTTGCGTATAAGCTCTTGAAACTTTAGCATAACACGCTGCCTGGTAGTAATCGGCGTGTTTCTCCATGACGGAAACGCTTGCTTCGCAGCGGATACCGCCGCCTTAAACTCTTCATTAGTAGTCAATGGAACTTTAGACACAACTTCTTGTGTAGCCTAATAATAGCAAATCAAAAATTACATCAAAGTTTAAACCTTTAAATAAGAAAACAACACAGTGAAGGGACTCATAAGAGAGCTTGCTTACAGGGTTTATAACATCGATAAACGAAGATGATTGAGAATCAACAAAAGAACCTCCAATAAGATTTGGTACTCTCTGAAAACAGAAGAATCACATCAAAATCAAAACTTTTAAATAAAAATCACATCAAAATCAACCCAAGAACTCACCGGAGGCATTTGTGGTTGAGTAGATTTCTCCGGCGACGTTGATAACCAAGAGCTTCGAAGAGCGAGAAATTGAGGTCTCAAAGGTCTCAGATTGTTACCTGAAAACAGTAACAAAAACAAGCTTCGATTGTATCGAAGTCTGCAGATTTTGATTCTAAGTAAAAGAGAATCGAGAATTTACCAGAAACTCGTAGCAGCATCGTTGTTTGATTTGTTGTTGTTGATGATGATCGGAGTTTGGTGCCGTCTGCTGCTTCTCTATAAGCGTTTTTTGGTTTTGGTTTTGGTTTTGGATTTGAGTGATGAGTGAGTGCTGACTCGATGTTGATCGGGTTGCGAAGTGGTTGGATTTTGCCACGTGGTTAAATATGTACCGTTAGATATATAAAGATTCAAGATTCTTTTGTTTGACTTTCACCAAGATATAGAAATAAAAAAAGTACAATTGCTTTCCTTATTACTTTGTTAGCCCAATGACCAATTTTTCTAAATAAAAAGGGCGTGGAAGCGTAGGAGTTTGTTCTTGTTGGTCTGTTTTATATGA